TTAGAACAAAATTAGCTAAAACTTCAATCAAAAGCATACACAGGGCCATGTGTGTAAACCAAGCAATAAGCAGTTCCAGTCAATGTCACCTCATTACCAGGTGACATTTATATGTTGGCACTTCCTAGTCAATAATTCAATCAGAAAAATAAACAGATGGCAAGAAGAAGATGCAGGTCCTGATAAAACTCCATTCGCGGCTAACAGACCCTCAATCAATTATCTAACAAATATGATCTTAAAAAAAATAAATTAAACAATGGCAAAGAAAAGAAATAGTGAGAATTTTTTTACAGAGAACAATAGATATCGGTGCCCCAGTCCATTAAAAGGAAAAAACATGTTCTGGTAACAGAATACAGTAGATAACTTTTAGAAATAACAAATAACATATGAGCATAAGCGATAACAGCCTGATGATGGCATTGATGCAGAATAATGATGCACAGAAGATAACTGCTATCTTAAAAGAATAAGGATTAAACTGAAACAGCTCAAGTGTATGAGCATACCTTATTGTATGGGTTCTCAGACTGACCATTGAGAGGTGAAACTGTCGAAGGAGTTACTAATAATCTTGTCTGATCACTGACTCTTGAACCACGAACCCTACCTGAAATTGAATTCCCCCTACCACGACCATGCTTTTTTTGATTTACATCAGAAGTTGCTTTGGTATCAACAGTTTCTACAACCATCTGCCTCCCATCAACCACTGCCTGCTTGTGATTTTTATTTCAGATTTTTTATTTTATTTATATAAATTCATTTTATATGGGGAAGAAACAACAACTACAAAGCCTTTTCCCATTAAGTGGGGTTATATGGGGAAGAAAGTTAGAAAGAAAACGATTTTTCAATGTAAAAATAAATAAAATAAAAAAAGTAATTGAACACCATGATCCCAACTTTTCGTCTAAATCGTATTTTGATGAGTTTTCTAAAACCGTGCTGCCTCAAACATGTTAGAACAGATTAGATATATCATTTGAAGCCAAGATACTATAGTGTGTATTATCAACTAAAATCAGTGGCTACAATATTATCCTAAAGTTTCTAACCAAATTTAACTTGAACAAGAGCCTACCTCAACATGTTCAAGAACAGTTGAATTACCATCTTCTTGAAGTTTCTGGCGCTTCTGAGTGTTGGCTTGTATCAGAAACTCCCCTCCATTCTGTCATAAGAATATGAACTAGAACATAAATCATAGAAAATCGAAAAGATCCAAGACCTGACAGTCAGTCAGTTTAATGAGAATTATGTACTTAAAACCGTTAAAAATATTTAAATTCTAAATTAAAATATAATGCTACGTAACGGATTGTTTTCAAAGGATAAGATAGCTTCCTTTGGTATTTTCTTGTTTTGTACATGGACTTTTCGTTCACTGGTGAATAATACTATTATCTCAACTTTATTAACAACTTCGTTTCTTATAAACCAAAAATTCTTAGGAAAAAAATTCCAAAACTGGTGACAGGGGGATGCAATCCCAACCCGGTAAGGAAACCATAATAGTGAAAGCAAATTTCACAAACGTAATGGTTATATAAATGGTATGAAGAAAATAAAATTTCCCATACTAGTTGCATAATTTAGTCCATCAGTTCAGTATTTACTAGTCCAAATATTGTTTTGATTCGTCCGACATATCCAGTCTCATTGTTTTGGCATTTAATCATCAAGCATGTAAGGACCTGAGCAATTTCGATCACCTAGAAGGCTGTATCGTTTGATTTTAGTGAATCACTAAAGTAAGATAGATAAAGACCGTTTTAATAAGCAATAATACATTCTTAGAACAACAGTTCAACCTAATAACAAAGAATCCCTTTCTGATTAATGAGACAATTTGAATCCTAAGATCGCAGGCATCAAAGTGCATTCCACTTATAATTAGCTTATACCGGCAACAACGAAACTTCATTGATTGAAATAGTATTGAGTAGACATAAGAAATGTAAATAAACTTATCCCCATTTGATCAATTCGCTAAACTGCTTACGAATTGCCATTAGAATCAATCCCAACTGGTAAATTAAAATTGAAAGCACAAACTCACTGAATTACACGCATTGGGTACAGAATTGAGAGAGAAAGGGCTTACATCATCGTCGGAATCACTCGAAGTTGAAGGCTCGGCCAAGTCAGCCGTGGTGAATCTCGGCTGCTGCTGCTGTTGCTGCTGGAGAGCAGGAAGGGCGGAGGAGGCCTTGCCGACCATTCGGGCTTCGAGCTTGGCAATCTTGGTGGGCAGAGAGTGGTCCGACTGGTTGGAGGAGTTGGAGGAGAAATGGATGAGCATGTCATCCGACATTGTTACTATTAAGCCAATCACGAGAGTCAACAATGTTGGGTAAAAAATAAAAAATAAAAAAAATTCAGATCATTTGACGAAAAGGGGTTTTGACTTTAAGCCATGGGAGAGGAGAGGACAGGAGAGAGTGTTGCGCCTTCTGCTTTTCTTTACTATTTTCTTCTACTTTGGCTCTCAATGTTGGGGAGAGGGAGAGGGAGAGAGAGAGAGAGAGAGAATTAGGGTTTTGAATTTGGGAGAATGGGAGGAGGGTAGGGGGAAATTGAGGAGGGAGAGATTGATGGTGTCTTGGTTCAAAACTATTTGGGCAGAAGAAGGAAAGGGAAGGGAAGGGACTCACTTGGACTCTGGATTGTAGAAGAAGCTTTTGTCTGGTGGGCAAAGCAAAAGTAGCAAATTGGTGGAAAAAGAACGAATGACCGACTGAATGACTCGATTGGGACTTTTTCGCATTCGGTTTTGGGGTGGGGGACGTGAAATTTTGGGTTATTTCTAGCTATGCCTGGAACTTAATTTTGAGGTTTAATTTTAGGGAGTTTTAACGAAAAGCCCACGGTACTGTTTACTTTAACGAAAAATTACATTTTTACATTAAAAAGTCAAACATGGTACTATTCATTTTACCCTTTATTTTGTCCTTATCATTAAAACTCAAAGTTTTCAAGCCCTTTTCATTAGTTTTCCTTTAATTTTAGTTACGATCCTAAAGTTTTTGGTTTTCAATATTTGATACATAAAGTTTTTTTATTTCAGAGCTGTACCTGAAGTTATAATTTAGGACACTTTTATACATCCGTTAGTAGGGGTGGATTTTTTTGCCAAATTACCATGCCAACCGAATTACCAACCGTGCCATACCGATTTTGTGCCAAATTTTTTGTACCAATCGGTAATGGTACGGTATTGTACCGTACCAAAATATCATGGTATGGTATTGGTAATGGATACCATTACCATGGTATTACCGTACCATACCGAAAATACAATATAATTTATAATTTATAATTTATAATTTATATAATACATAATTATATAACACATATTTATAATATTCCAATAATTTGAAAATAATACCCTACTTATATTAGCATAGTTGTTGGTGACTTTGATCTCTTAAAATTGTGGAAATCAAACACAAAAGAGTTCCTAATTCTTTCACAAATAGCCAAAATATCTTTGTAACCCCCACTTCTACTGTTGCTAGTGAAAATGCATTTAGTCTAGGGAGGAGGGTTGTGAACCCTTTTAGGGTATCCTTGACTCCTAAAATAATGGAGGCACTAGTGTATACTAGTGGTTGGCTTAGGGCAGGTGAAGTAAACTTCTACAAGGACCAACGGAAGATATGCTTCAATTTTACAAGGAAATAGAAGAAGAGAAAACAAGAAAGATATGCTTTAATTTTTTTAGTAAATTTGTTATTAAATGGTTTTCAACTTTAATTCTTCTTGCTACTAATTAATATGTTTTCTTTGTTTGTAATGTAGGCTTGACACAAACTCAATCTTCTACAAGTTCAATGCCTCCTCCAAAAGTTTCGACATCTCAAGCTTGAATAACTGATCAATGAATTCTCTTTTTTGAAGTTTACTTCCAATTTTCATTTGGTTTGAAACTTTAATTTCTATTTGGATTGTTAACTTCTATTTGTTTTGGTTCATAACTTCTATTTGGATTGTAAGCTTAATTTTCATGATGAATCTTGATGCTTCATTTGAATTATTATGTGTGTGAATTGTGAATGATGAATAATAGATGAATTTAATCTATAATGTATGATAAAGGTACAAAAAAAAAAGTTTTGCCCTTGAATTGGGTTAAAAAAACAAAATGGCAATTACCATTGCCACACCATGCCAACCAAACTTTTGGCAATACCGAACTTCGGTATACCGAAAGTTTGGTACGGTAATGGTAATAGATTTTACCAAGCCGAAAGTTTGGTACGGTAATTGGTACAAGGGTTTTGGTACGGTAACCGTACCGAACCCACCCCTATCCGTTAGTGTTGTTAAATCATCCGTTAACTGGTGATGTGATGTCGACATAGACAATGATTGGACGTCACGTTTGGCCCACGTGAATATTAAAAAATTAAACATTAAAAAAATAAAAAAAAACTATAAAAAAGTTATTTTCTTTTTTTGTCTTCCACCTCCCCGACCCTTCGTCCCTCCCTCCCTCCCTTTAGGGGTGGAAAAAATTCCTAAAAATCCCAAACCAAACCAAAAAAATACCGATCCCAAACCGATTTTCCTAAAATTTTCGGTGTGCTATCCCGAAAAAATACCGAAATTTCGGTATGGGAATCGGGATTGTCTTTCCAATAGTTTGGTATTCCCATACCGAACCAAAATATATATTTTTAATTATTTTATATATATATATATATAGACACACACACACAGATAATAATATATATAAATCATGTTGGCACAATAATGAAAAAATCATGTTACTTTATTTTTCATCCCTGCAACATAAAGATATGAAGGTTTATGATATGTGTTATGTGTCATTCTATTTCATTGATAGGAGTCACCTTTACTAGAAGTAACACAAACACCAGTGTCAAAGTTGATGAAGAAAGTAAAGAACATAAACACCGGAAGTGTAATGAGTATTCCACATAATCACAAAAAGGTATATTATCTATTCTAAAATTGAGGAATGAATTGACTGTAGCTTAGCTACAGTCAATTGGTTGCCACTCGATTTCACTCTATTTACCACAATACCAACCAAATGGCGCTGGTTGGGAGGGTAATTATCAAAAGTTGGGAGGGTAATTTTGGCTCTGAACAGATTTGCATTATTTACGTTTCTACCATTATGTGTGGCTGTGCTTCAGACAGAACTCACAGATTTGTGGAGGGATTTCAGGGAGAGGCGTGGGATGGCAGGGAGGGGAAGGGGGAGATGAGTGAGGCTGCCAAAAAGTGGGGTTAGTATTGATTTTTTCTCCTCAAATCAAGGGTGTCGCTGATTGAGAGATTGAGAGGGATGGGGGAAAGAGACAGAAACACAGCCATTTGGCCTTCATTTTCCCCTTTTTCAAACCCTAGCAGCCAGAACCCCAAAACTGAGCTCACTTCTACAATAACATCGGCTCTTGCTTCCCAAAACCACACAAACCTTCCCTTCATTTCTGTTACAGGTAGCTGAAAGATATTCTTGGGGATGGAGAAGACGATGGTGGCACGACGGTTGGGTCGTTTGTGCAGGTCACTGTTTTGGAGATTTACCATGAGGAGATTTATGATTTGTTGTCGAGCAATGGCGGCTGAGGATTCGGGTTTGGATGGCCAAAGAGCAATGGCTCCAATTCTAAGGTGATAATATTATCTGGGTCTCTCTTTTCTTTGTTGAATTCTTGCCGATCTATGGTTTTTCTAAGTGCTGGACAAATTTATAGCATGTTTTTAAAAGCAGAAAGGTTGTGTCTCACCCACCTTTTCATCTCAATTTCTGATTATCCTAATTAGGGGTTTCTTAATTAATTATGCTTAAATATTGATCAGTGCTCAATTCCTATATTTCCAACCCCACCTCTCTTTCATCAACAAAGCTTTGAAAATTTGTTTTATTTTTTTTTTTCTGGAAAAATTTCTGATTTTGATTTTATTCAATTTTTTTGTTTGTTTTGTTTTTGTTAATTGCAGCTGCCAGTAGCAATTTTCCCAATACACATGCCCTCGATGCAGCTTACGCTACTGTTCCCTGCACCGCTACAAGGTATGCATGCTGATTTGTACATATTCTTATTTATTTTATTTTGTAATATTTAGCAAAATCAAACATTTGATCACCTTCTTTTGATTTTGGGTTTGGTGGGTTTGATGCGTACTGATATAAATTTATTTGGTTTTGGTTGATCTGATATTGGTGATTGCATAACACGTTGGAATGTGAATTTTCATGCGTTTTGTAATTCTGAGTCTGTGTTTGGATGCTTTAATATGTTGGATTACCTTAGATACTGGCCTTCCGTGACTCTCTTGATTTATGCATGATGGAACTAATTTACTTTAGCATAGATGATTTTTCTGGTCTTCTTACTTTTGTTGGAATGTTAATGTAATCTGTTAATTTTGGATATTTGTTTGTCATGGGTTCTGTAGAAATAGACCGCAGTTGTGTCCTCTCTGTTTTTCTGATTTTTTTCTCAATTAGGATGATTTCTTACCAATTTCCTTTAAGATTTGTGCATGTGTGTTTGTTAATGCTCTGTTTCTTCGTTTTTACAGGAAGAATTGTTTAAAAAGCTCATCATCTATATGATCGGGCAAAAGTGCACTTGGTGGTAAGGTGATGGCAACTTTGGGCGTTGATGAAGTATCGATCCAAGGTTCACTTTGTTTGAAACATTCTAAAAGCTGAAATAATTCCAAGAATTAATGATGAACAAAATTATTTCCATTCCATGCATAAACTGGTAAGTAGTTCTAGATGGTCTGTGCATGTTGAAGTTTCAAAATAATGACGAAGTAATCATGCTTTAGGTAAATGCCAACTTGAGGGTTTCTTGAGACCCAATATAGATCACCATCAAAATCTCCACCACCCATTTCATCAGCCACTAAAAGCGAACCTTTGCGAGAGAGATTATCTTAAAATCTATTTTGTGGATGAATCTAATTTGTTAAATTTGTAGGGTTTAAGTTATGTAAGAAATTGAGTCGCAAAGTTGAGTCTTTTTTCTGAGTTATGTTAATAATTCTACCTAATGTTTTTGTAAATTCGTGGTTGGGTTCAAGTTATATTAGAAAACATGGATCACTCAAGTCTTAGTACAACTGGATGTTGTTTGCTTGCACAAAATCTTTGTGCATAGAAGTTGAGTCTTTTTCTGAGTTATGTTAATAATTCTACCTAAAATTTTTGTAGGTTTTTTTTTTGGCTTTTTTTTTCCCTGATTTTGGGGTTCTTTTTTTCAGGCTCGAACGCCGTCGTCTTCCGAAGTCCTCAGTAATAAAGGTAAGCAATTTGAAATTTTGGGGTTATTGAAATCATAGCTTCAATTTTGCAGTTTTGTTTAGATTTGTTATATTGAAGTTGAATTTGGTATTATGGTATGTTCTCTTTGGATGCTCGGAAAGATAGGTGAGAATTTGAATTGTGTGTAAAATTGACAATTTAAAGTTGTTTTTTCTGTTGCTAATGTGTTTTAGTTCAATTGAGTTACAAGGATTGGGGTCTTCACAATTAGGAAGGGTTGGTGCTTTTGTAATGGCACTTTGCATTTGTTTTGAGCGTCCAAAAATTGCTATATCTTGCGCAATGCAGGAAACAAAATAGGTGTCCAAGCAGTGAGAAATGAAGTTGATCATATAAATTGTAAGCCTTCATTTTAAAAATTATCCCTTTAGTCTAAAAGGAGTGAGAAATGAAGTTGATCATATAGTATGTGTCGTAGTGTCATAAAAATCTGTCGCAATAGTGATACTGAGTATATTATATTTATGAAAATATGCTGGATTTGTTGGATTTCTTTTCTTTTTTGTTTACTGTGGATTCTCTTAGTCTTTTCTCATGTAATTATTGGTGCTTTCACAGACCATGTGTGAACTGCATGCCGCTGATGTTTCTTATGCAAACAGACAATATTTGTTTAGATTACAACTTTTGTGAATAGAAATTTTTAAGTTCATCCATTTGATTGTACAGTGGCTCTTGATGTCAGCTGAATTGAATGTAAGTGAAAATCAAACTGCTTTGCTTGGTTCACCCATCTCTTGGTTGTTTAAATTCTTTAGTGATGCCTATATTGATTTGAGTTTGTTAGATTTACTCTGGTGAAATGTGTGTTATCTACATTGGTGCATTTTAGGTGGTGACTCCGTTTGTACCGCTTTTGTAGTGCATCTTTTTGTGCAAATTATTTACCATTCTGCTAATGGCTCTCTCTGCCCCTGCTGCACGTTATTTACAAAATTGCCACCTCCTCTTAATTCTTCGTTCGGTGAGGGTTTCGGGGATGGGAGGTCATGCCGCATCTGAGATAGAGATAGAGATAGAGAGAGAGAGAGAGGGAGAGAAAAGGAGAGGGAGGAGTAGGGATCGCTCAATGAGGGTTTCAGGGATGGCAGGTCATGCCGATAGAGATAGAGATAGAGTTAAAGGGAGAGGGAGACAGAGACAGAGTGATAGAGAAGGAGGGAGAGGGAGGAGTGGGGATCTCATTGCCATTGCTGCAGATCCTCGATTTCATGAGTGGGAGAGGGGGGACAGTCAAAGAAAAGCATGGGGGCTGTCGGAATTTGAGGGAGAGGGGTAGGGATTGTGGCTGGGGGTTTGTGTTTGTCCCTTTGATTATTCTCTGGGGTTGGTTTTGTTCATGAATAAAGTATTGTGTTTTCTCTATATTTTGGTTTTGAGAAGTTGATGGTTTTGGGTTATGTTCTTTTTCCCCTTTTTTCTCAATTCTCAGTGAGTGGCACTTTTTCTCAATGGAAGATGATAGTTCAAATGTGTCAATGGTTCTGGAAATGTGATTACAAGTTTCCGTATATTCAATCCACCAACAACATTTCTATGCACACAACTCAGACACATGGATATGTTCCAATCTCTGCGACAAGCACTACTGTGAGGCCACTACCATATGCGAATATCTTCATACATGTCAGTTCCCTTTCTCACCCTCTTCATGTTTTATCCAATATTATGTTTTTTATCTGATTTCATGTGTTTTCTTGACGCTTTTGGTTGTCCAAGATTTCTAAGTTTTTGTATAAGAATATAAGAACAAAACTGCACATCGAGGAGTTTATGATGAACTTTTTGGAGTGTCGGTAACACTTCTCTTTGGGAATATGTAAATCTACTAATCATTGTTTGATAATTCCTTACATGTATGTGTAACTTTACCATAAATTAATTTAATTTCTATTTCAGGAAATCTGGTCATTTTCTGTGTAAGTTTCCCCTCATGGTTCAGTTCTGCCATTCCCCTCAAAACATCCTTCGTGTCATTTCCTCTTTTTCTGTGTTCAGGTTACATACCTTACATATATATTAGAGACTACAACGATAAAAGATGTCAGTTGAATGTATATAAAAGCAAAACTGCTTATCTTATAGTCCTCATTCACTCATGTATCCCTTTGTTCATAATTGTGTTGAATTTATTCAACTTAAATGTGTTTTATTCATCCAATTACATCTGAAACAACTGGTTCTCGCGGCAACGCTTGGGCATATTTTCTAGTAACTTCTATAATAGGTTTTCCTTCTAGTGTATTCTTAAATGGTAAAACAACTATGTTCTATAGGTTATAAACTTATAAATGCATCTCAGTACTAAAAAAGAAGATATCATATAAAACTTATCCGCGGTTGCACTGGTGGTTATTTAAGAGTTTAATGTTGCCTACTGATATCGTTTGATCAATTCATGCATTATTCCTTCTACCTCCTCAGCTTGATGCCAGGTAACTCATCGGAAGTATGAAGTTGAAACTAGTAATAGAAGAACAATCACAAAACGAAGGAAAACAAGAAGCACAGTAATGTTTGAAGTATGTACCTGATTATTTCAGTGAAAATATAAAAGCTATGGGAATTGGAAATACAAAATCACTAAAAGCCCAAAAATATTTCGAGATTCTTGATTGTCCCGAAATACCGAAACTATTTCAGGATTCTTGAAAATTGGGATTCTCGAAATTTTGGTTTAGGATTGGTCTTGAAATTGGGAATACCGAAAATTTCGGTTTGGGAATTAGGACTAAAGTTTTGGTTCGGTATCCCATACCTAACCACCCCTATCTCCCTTACCCCTCCTTTAGGGTTTTACCAAGGTTTTTTTTGAGAAATATTCTCAAGATATTAAATATGAAATAATATTTTGATATCCCTAATTGATTTAAATAGGGATTACTTACTTGAATGGAGTCGATCTTCAATTATGGATGAATTAAATATAGGAGTTGGGTAATTAATCATTATTTTTAATGCTTTGACTTTTCTTTGCCAAGGTCAGGTGAGCTGTGGACAGTCGTATTCAACTGTAGGGACCTTCAGAGGTGTGAGCTGCACGTGAGAGTATTTGAGGAGTCTGCCCCTTTAATGAGGGCAATCTTGTCTTTCTTGAACAAAAGTTTACGTGTCACTTCTAGAATTTTTGGGATTATTCTAGGCTCCACACCCTTCGCCGCTGATCTTCTTGATCCCCGAAGCTTTTTCGATTGCGACTGGTTCTGATGTGGCCTCTAATTCAGACCATGACGCCAATGCTTCATCAACGATCTCTTCGACTGCCACAACTCAGAGCAACAGCCCAAGACAGACTGCATCATCGACTGGATCTGGTAGGAAGGTTTGGTGGGTTCGTGCAGTGGAGATAACGGAGGGAGAAGGGAGGGATGGAAATACAGGGGAGGTAGAAGAAGACCAAAAAAATGATTTTTTTTTTAATTTTTGAAATTTTATTTTTTAATATCCACATGGGCCCATTTTGACACGTGGCACCTAGTCATTGTGCACTTGGCGGCCATGTCACCAGTTAATGGCTGATTGAACAACAACCTTAACGGAAGTGTGAAAGTATCTCAAATCTATGACTTCAGTTACCACTCTGAGATGAACAAAAACTTCAAGTACCAAATGTTGAAAATCAAGAAAATTTAGGATAGTAAATTGAAAATAATCCTAGTTTTAATCTCACTTTGCTCCCTATAACTCAAACATCACCACTTTACTCTCTAAAAATCAAAGTTCGCTCTACTTTGCCCCATGGAACTCAATTTTAGATCCTAGTTTACCCCATAAAACTTAAAAGTCTTATCTGTAAAACTCAAATTTCGTTCCACATTGCCTTAGATATGTTAATTTCTTATGTGGATTAAATTTGGGTACGACAAACTAATCAATTTCCTTTTTTATCTTTTTCATCTCTTCAATTTCTTTTAAACTTAATATTATATGATTGTTGAATATTAACGCATAATGGAGGTTTAGAATCAAATTTGTTGTACATGTGGCATGGTCTTATTGGATGTTGAGCCTCTATGTTCAAGAGACGACATATAAGTTTCAGGGAAAAGAGAAAGTTCACAAGTCAAGTGGTACGAATTTTGAGTTTCAGAAAGTAAAGTGGTGATTTTGGAGTTAGAGATGGTAAAGTGAGATCAAAATGGAGTTCCAGGGAGCATAAATAAAAATAAGCTTGAATTTTTTTTGTGGGAGTCATGTATGTATGTCGGTGCCCTTATTTAAATGTCTTCTTTTATTGTCCAACTTTTTGGAAATTGGAATCCAATGTTTTAACTTTAGGATATTCACAACAACATCCCATCAAACGCAAGGCTTCACTTAACTCCTCAAAATTCAAGTTTTGTCACTTAATCTTCTGAAACTCAAATTGCGTCTCACTTTGCTTCATACCAACAAAAGCTATTAACAAATCCCTTCAAATTGTATATGGCACTGAATATGACCCCTTGTAGCTCTAACACGAGTTGAGTTTCAAAGAGTTAAGTGATATAATTTTAATTTCAAAGATTAGTAAGACTCAAGTTAAGTTTCATAAGGTGTATATAATAAAGTCTTCAACTGTAAACACCAAGTGCAAGTGGTGAATTACTAATACTATAGTAATTATGTCCTAATTTTTCGACTTGCTAGGTCATGAGTTCATATCTCCCCTTCCATTAGTCTAATTTAGAGTAGTTATATAGCTGGTAATAAATTAAACACCAAGAAATTTATTGTGGTTATAAGTAGAGAAATTGCATTTGGAATCCAAAATTTGTAAGAGAAAAAAAGTTGAATTTTCGGATATATAATTGAAATTAATTTAATATTAGCACAATGGAAAAATAAATAATAAATATGATATGTAAACTCAATTACACGTCCAGTTGTTTGTAAATCAGTTATGCAACAAAGAACGAAGGTTAAGTGAATTACTTACAAGATTCCTTAGCCACATACCCACCATGACACACTCTGACCCCAATGTTTAGTGAACACCAAAACCGATGCGTGCAGGTCATCACCTAGATGGGTGACGAAGCCTTGATATGCATGAAATCATAACTAAAATTATCAACTAATAAAATCTACTGAAAGTTCGGCATAACTTCCTCTAAAATATGGATAAACCCAAATCAAAATACCTACAGGTAATCAAATTTATTTCAACACATCCTCAAAGGGCCACACTTAATGGGTTTATGACCCTCTAGTACATGGATGATAACAGGTTCAGAGAATAGATGTCTAAATACATTACAAATACATTACGAATAAAGCCGATTAGGTAACCTACTCGATAAGGATATGTTGGAGCCTGAGAAAATGCCTCGACGTCGAATATGCTCACATCAACTGCTACCGATTTCTGAGGGGGTGCAAAACATAAAAATGTGAGTGGACGCAAAATAAGGTTTCGTAAAACATTATTATTTTTTTTTAACATACTAACCCTCTGTTTTGAAAACAATATAATACTACATATAATTTTTGAAAACATAAGCATGCCCTTAAAACTAAAATTTGATATATACATGTGCACTTTGAGAACTTTACACCTTTGGAACCATGGGTAGAAGAAATCCAATCACTTTCCTCAAGCAGGGTTGTGAAAAGGGCATTGTTGTTGAACCAGAACCTGAAAAAAAACTCAAAGGTTAATTTTTCTTTTATATTACTTGACTTTAACAATATATTAACTGGTTCTGTGTACATTTGTAACCTTTATTGCTGACCTTTAACTTGGATATCAATTTACAGCAAAACTTGAGAAAGAGCACCAACCGCAAATCACAAGTTCAGCCAAAGTGTCTGGGGAATTCTCTAAGATAATTCTTCCTAAGACAGAGCCTTCAAACAAACTTCCTATCGGTGCACTAAGAAACAGGTCGCAAACAAAAAATAAAAAATAAAAAAAATCAAAGAAAGGTTACAAAGCATTGTTTAGCTCGTTACCTAAATAGTATATGTGTCTCCACCCGTTATTGAGATATGCTCTCCTATTTCCATTTCAGTGCCAGAGATGTTCATTCTCAGAAGAAGTGAGCACTTAAGGATTTAATGATGACTTCGTGCAGGTAACAAGATAAGTGTATATTTTTTGGGCATCCCACTTCCAAACTTAAGTGTTGTAGATAGTCTAAAAAAGCTTTTTTTAAATCTTTTTGCAATCGCTACAGCAATATCATAGCTTGCAGGACATGTATTTCGTTATGTTGTATGCACATACAAAATATTTGTAAACTGCATGCTACTTGCTTTCATTATGTAAACCTATATCTTTTATGGTTGCATCTTTTGTTGCCTCAAACTTCAACCCTTTTGATTTTGCATGGGGTTTTGATGTAAAGTAAATTCAATTTAAATGCAAGTTAAAATACTTATTCTGCCATATCGGTTAACCTTGGTCTTCAACTTTCAAATTATGTTAAATTATCTGTGTTTGCCTCTGTGTGTGTGTGTGTGTTTTTTTTTTTTTTTAAATTGGTTGAACTAAGATGTATATTTTCTAAATTAATCTAATTGAAAATGCATAACAGAATAAGAACTTGTAGAAGTGCGCGGGCCAATTTTCTAATGTTAACAATAGCGAATCAAATTTAGATTCAAATAAAATATGATCTATTCAGAGACTGATTTATAAATGGAATAGTATTTACTATTTGCTAACAATTGAAAAACTAATTCCGAGCTTAATATTGTTTTAAAACAAAATTAATTATATACAGATAGATTTCTTTTGTATTGGTGCAAAGATATATTTGTATTAAGACTTGATGGAATATAATTTGCTATCGAACTACTTATTCACGAGATTTAAACTTAAGATATATCACTTACAAATTGAGAACAAATATAATTAAACCA